TTGATGCTATGGTCCTTCATAACTGCTTGTTCTTATTCTGTTGATGCCATGGTCCTTCATAACTCCTTGTTCTAATCATCTGCCCTTCACCAGTTGTCCATTAGAGCATCAAGGTTTTACAGTCTGCCAGTCTGATGAATGCTGTATTCTTTTTTAGCCAGTTTATTGAGCTATCTCCCTGCCCTATTTCTGGGTCTTTTAGTCATTGTAATTTAGAATTAGCTTACAATTGCTGCTAAGTATTTCCAGGCTTGTGAGATAATCCTGTTTTGGGTAGCCCAGATTTAACATCTGCTGTTATTGTGAGAGTTGAGCATATCCTTAGTCTGATATTGCTGGATTAAAATTACTCTACATAATATATATATATATGTGTGTGTGTGTGTGTGTGTGTGTGTGTGTGTGTATTAGTTATATAATAAAAATATATAAATAAAATTCCTCTACATAATTACACACACACATACACACACCCACCCCCTACCTTTTAAAAGAAATGTCTACTGTAGCAGGTTTCCATACAATGGCTCAAGTAGTTCTTAATTTTAGTGGCCCCTCCTCATGTTCTCTTCTTTCTACATTCATTGTCTACACGCTATTACTTGAAAAAATATTCATAGAATCAAGCAAAATTTTAAGTTTCTTTGAAGTAAAATCTTCTAAGTTTCTTTTGGAAGCTAGTTCATAGGGAATGACTCACTGAAGTAACATCTAGTTTGGTGAGTGAGTCAATATTAGTATTCACCTAATTTATTCTGAGTAAAATTCAGTACATATGCCTAAAATACTTTAAAAATTAAGTATGTCTAAACTGGATATGAAAACATACAATAAAACATTGATTCTGATATGTTTCCAATTTTTAACTATCATAAAATTTGGCACATTTAAGTGTTACACAGTATTCATAAAGTCATAAAGACCCTTTGGAAAGCTTCACTGGAGGGCTGGAGCAGTATCTGCAAACGTAGGGAGGATGTGAGGAATTTAGTGTTTGTAAGTTCATGAGGAAATATTCATTTTTCAGTATAGACCAGGTGCTCATTATGATTAAGAGCTGGTTACCGTGGGGACAGACAGCATGAAATTTGTAAAATTAAAACCCACAAGATAGAAAATGCAGATAGCATAGGAAAGTGAATCATGACCAAATGGTCTTAACTTTGTTTCCATAGTTCCAAAGATGTGTAAAATTTCTGATTGGCCATTTTGTGGGTGAGATTACTTTGGTTATCTATCGTATATTACTCACTTGATAGATGTTTTATCTAGACTCAGTTTAAATATGATAGAATGCATTATGATAATTATCTTAACTGTAGATGTGTTAAGGTCAGGTTATGCGAATTTAAAATGTTCATGAGTAGTAATAATAGTGATTAAAAGTCATACTTTCTGGAAAACCTGATTCTTCCTCCTCCTCCTCCTCCTCCTCCTCCTCCTCCTCCTCCTCCTCCTTCTTCTCCTCTCCTCCTCCCTCTCCTCTTCCTCTCTCACTCCTCTTCCTCC